TTTTTTTTGCAGTGTTCCTTCCCCTCCCCTCCCACCCCTGGTAACCAACAAAGAACGTTTCCTTCCATATATAAACCTTTCCTTGATAAACCTGGTCTTTTTTATGAATCTGAATTTTTGAACAGCCAACCTTCTGATGAGCAGATGAGCACCTTAATTGTTTGCACAACCCAGGGACTCCTCTGTTTAAAAATTTAATTTCTAGCTGTGGAGCTTTTTTCTTCTTTAATCCTTTAGCAAGTCCTTTTCCAATGTTAACTATTTCTAATAAAAGAAGTTTATAAATCAGATAAACTGTTTAGTCACTTTGAGCAATTCTTTAACTTTATTTTTCTACACTTAATTTTTTGAAATCTTGGTATGGTTTTTCTTCTCCCTTCCCTCAAAATGATCTCACCATTGTTTAAAGGGAAAAAAAAATTTTTTTTCTGGGACTCTGTCTCCGCTAAGAGTCAGGCTTGTAGCAGATACTGAAAACATGATAGATGGATGACTTTCAGAGAGGGGAAGGCTGGTAATATAAAAGGATTATTTCATGTAAATCACTGTGTCGCCCTGCATCCAATTACCTAAACCTCACTTTTTATTTTAGGTTCTATAACAATGGAGCTCAGTGATGCAAATTTGCAAACGTTAACAGAATATTTAAAGAAAACCCTTGATCCTGATCCTGCCATCAGACGTCCAGGTAAAGAGAAAAAAATCTTACTTTGTAGTTGTTTTATTCTTTAAAGATGGGAGACAGAAACCTTCATGGAATCTGCCTGTTCGTAAATTAAAAAAAAAAAAAAAAAAAGATTTGCACTTAAATTCTCAGGCATAGTTTGTTTTTCATTCTCTATCCATAACATATGTGGTTGGCTGCTAATAGATGCAATAACATATGGTGTCTGTTGAGTGAAAAAGCTTTTACTTGGCATCTTCTGGGATAAGAACTACTGATATGTTTAGAAATGCTTTGTCCTTGGCCTTTCTGAAACCCTCCACTTAAAACCTGCTTGTGTTATAGAGAGATAATAATTAGGGTATAGAGAAGAGAGTTAATTGCCTAACAAATGATTAAGTGAATGAAACCAGATCATCAGACACTATCTCTCAATCTCAGTTTGGGTTTTATTTAATTATAGTGTAGGATTTCTTTTTCCTGTTGAATTTAATCATTTTCCATTAGAAACTTGCTGTCAGCTTAGAATTGTGAACTCAGGCGCCCATAGGAGTCAGAAGAAAAGGTTAATAAGGGAGGCAGGCCAAATATGGACATCATATGAGTGATTCCATGTCCTGATTAAAGGGGAGATACTGGCAGTTTCAAGGAGCTAGGGGATTCACAAGGTTTGGAGGATCCGATTTCCAGCTTTGCTTTACAAATAAGGATAGTTACATGAAATGTTCTCTGTTTTAAATGATAGCAGCTAACTTGGTTTTAAATCACAGTGCAAACCAAACCAGCCACTTCAAGGTGCCAGATGTGGTTTGTGAGTAGTCACTTGTCATCTCAGTTTAATCCAGATTGACCAGAAATACTCTTAACCTGATTTTTCTGAATTTGCTAATGTGCCTGCTCATAAAGATGATTTTGGAAGAATGTCATGAAGATGTGTGTATATGTGTTATTTTACATGTTCTGTATAATAAATAGAATCAGAAATGCGTTAGTACATCCATCCTATTCTAGAAAAGCCTCTGTGATTTTTCAGAGGCAACATTGTGATTTTCCCATTAGTTAGTAAGAAGTAATGTGTTTCTTGATAAAGGAAAGTTAATGGCTCTATTGTCTTAGACTTCCCCTGAAAACTTTTGCTGGTGTTGTCTATTAAAAATTGTTTTTAGTCTGGTGGCGTAGTGCCTAAGCATTTGACTGCTAACCAGAAGGCTGGCAGTTCAAACCCACCAGCCACTCCTCAGAAGGAAGATTGGGCAATCTGCTTGCATAGAGATATTGCCTCAGAAACCCAAGGAGGGGTGCTATGAGTCGGAATCGACTTGACGGCAGTGAGAGTTTTTTTAATTGTGACTTTGTAAGGTGAGGATGCTATTGCCTTATGAATCCAAAACGGAGTGTCAGATACTTCTGGAAAGAGTTAGGAACGTAGCATTTCTCAGGGCTTGGTACTAGGCTAACTATTACATGATCTGGAGGTGGAAACCTGTGGTAGATCACAGCTTACAGATTCTACCCTGCTCCCTTGGTTATTAAAATGTGACAATGGTAAGAATGAATTACAAGATTTTTTGAGACTTCTTGAGTATGCAGCAATATGTCAGTATGAATATTCTGTGGGCAAGTGAAGGCAATGAACACAGAGAGGAATACCTAGACTGACACTCAGGGGAAGACAGCTTCCAGGAGGTTGCAATTTAGGAAAACACCTAGCAGTCTTTGTGGACTTTTCCCTAATCCTGGATACAGTATATTGCCCTGTACAAAATGCTGATGTATTAAGGAGGAAACAGTCAAATCCTTACAGAGCCATAGAGTGCCTCCATAAGCAAAACTGTTTTCATTTCAGCCGTCCTCATCCTTCAAGAAAGGTGGCCACAACATAGGAAGGGCTAGGGGACGGCAGGTAAACATTTGAGACACAGTCCAGAAAGAGGAACGGTGTTAAGTGGTATTACTAAATTGTAGGAAAAAATAAATACTAACAAATCTTTTCAATAAATAGCGGAATCTCAGAATGGGTATTACCTTATGAAGTTCACAGGAAAAATGAATAGAAATACTGTATACTTCCTTACCCCTCTGGTCAGTAAACCCAGAAAAGAGATTATCTCAGAATTCAGTATGGGTTAAAAATATGTAAAATGTTTATGTAAATTCATAGCTAGCATTCAGAAATTTTTAGTTGCAAGAGAAGTCTTTGGGCTGATGTAGTAGAATAAGGACTGAATTGAAACTTCACCAGTGTTGAAGTCTTACAGCTTTGTGATCTTGGGACAAGTTAACTTAACATCAGTGGCCTTGTCTATATTATTTTTCATTTTTATTGTGATTTGGGTGAAAGTTGACAGAGCAAAATCATTTTCCATACAGCTGTTCATGTACATTTTGTTTCATGACATTGTCTGCCATTCCTCCCAGTGTAACAGCTCTCTTTTACTTCTTCCCCGTAGTTACCTCTTTCCTGTGTCCTTCCCTCCCACCCTGCACAAACACTGCCCTTCTGTTCTTCCATGGTTGATCACTCCAAGGAGTGTATCTGCCTGGTGTAAATGTTCCCCCCATGTGCCTGTCTGTCGTTCAGCTGGAAGCCACAGGAGTAAGTTCAGCTCCAGACCTGAAGGGTAACTAGGGGCCATAGTCTCAGGGGTCTTAACAGGCTCTATCAGACCAGCAAACCTGGTCTTTTTATTTTATAATTCTGAGTTTTGTTCCACATTGTTCTCCTACCCTATCCAGGATCTCCTGCACTGATCCCCCTCTGAGTGGTTGACAGTGGTAGCCAGGCACCATCTAGTTCTTCTGGTCTCATGGTCATATAGGCTGAGGATCGCATGGTCTGTTAGTCCCCTGGACTAATTGTTTCCATGCATCTTTGGTTTTCTTCATTCTTCTTTGCTCTGCACGTAGACAGACACATCGTTGCATCTAGATGGCTGCTTGCAAGCTTTTAAGACCCGATTCACTATTCATCAGAGGAGAATGCAGAACAAGGTTTTTGTGTAGTACATTACGCCAATTGAGCTTGATGTCCCTTGTGACCATGGTCCCAAGCCCACAGGTCCAACTACCTGCTCCCTCAGGATAGCAAGTTATGACCAAGAAGCTACCACAACCTTGCCTCTTGTCAGCTCTACTGTACACCCAACGTTCTTAAGAGCTGATACAGATATGTTTGTAGAAACATCATCTGCTAACCCTGCACCTGGTCATGGGCACACACACCCCTGCCTAGATATACCTGATCATTCAGCCTGTCCACCCATCTGTCCACCCGTAGATCAGTGTTTGCTGTCACTGACAATGCAGTACTGTACATGCAAAAGGGTTCGTCTTTGTTGTCTGTACCTCCTGTGTCTTCCAAGTCCTCAGTGAGTAGCCTTGTCTTTAAAACGTGGACAATACTACTTACCTCTCTAGGCAGTACGGATGACTTAATAATATATATATATAAGTAAAGCACCACAGCCATGTGGTTAGTAATAATATCTATTGGCATGAATTAATTAATCTTCTCACAGCTCTGTCAAATAATTATTACTTCTACAACTACAATAATGTTAATCCTTTCTCACAAATGACAGGGTACACGCAGTCCCCAGGTTCCAAACATCTGAGTTACTCACTTATGTACAACCCATAGTTACCAATCAGTACCCATAAAACCTATTATATTAAAAAAAATATATTTAAAAAATTCAAGGTACCTACAATGGTTTGTAATAACCAATGGGTGCTACTTCATAGCACCCATTGAAATATTACCAGTGTTTTATTATGCTAAAAATGTTTTAGTGTATCTGGAAGTGTTTCTTTAGGTTTTTTTTTTTCTTTAATGTATAGAAGTGTACAGTGAATATACTAAGACAAACATTTAACTAATTCAGGTTAGATACAAACCATACCTAACTATTCTGACTTACATACAAATTTGACATACAAAGACAGATTTAGGAATGGAATTTATTTGTAATCCAGAGCCTGATCGTGTATGCCTTTTGCCCAGAGATCACTTAATTTCTCTGGGCATCAGCTTTTTCAGATGGGGTGATCATTTGTGTAGGCCACTTTATAGGTTTGTGAAAATCAGATGGGAAAGTGATTTGGAAACTGAAACACTGTAAATTTAATGCAGCATTATATATAGCTCATTTAATAAGAAAATTAAGGCCCAGTAGACCAAGGAAAATATCCTAATCTTTCAGTTTTTTGATGAAACTCAAGCAGAGATACACATAGTTCACATATCCATAAAATAGAGAAGAATTTTGATTCTAAAAACAAATTTTCTAACATAAAAATTCTTTTACAGCTGAGAAGTTTCTTGAATCTGTAGAAGGAAACCAGAATTACCCACTGTTGCTTTTAACATTACTGGAGAAGTCTCAAGATAGTGTCATCAAAGTTTGTGCCTCAGTTACATTCAAGAACTATATTAAAAGGAACTGGAGAATTGTAGGTATTTTGTTACTGCCTCATTTAATATCCTTTATGTTTGTAAGATTTCCATAAGCAGTATTCCTAAAAAATTCAGAAGTGTATAAAATTAAACAGGACCCTGTTCCAAAGTTCCTGTTATTTCACTTGAATTCATATACAGTATTTTAACTTCATGGCTTGGGGTGCTGGAGAGTATGTGACTTGATTTTAATCTCTGTTATGGTTGAAATTTAACTCTAGTTCCCTGTCTAGTGAGATGATAATGTGTAGGAAGACACAGCCTAAGTGAATAATAGGAGTGATTTCTTTTCTCCACTGGGAAAAATTAAGGATGCAGATTTTGCATTATATATAAATTTTTGTAGTACACAAAATAAGTTTAAATCTGAAGTTTTTGATAATGAGTTTTACCTTATCTTATGGGATATGGAAATAGGTTCTGATTTCAAGATGATTCCTATTATACTACAAATTTAATGACTAGTATACAATTATAAATTAAGAAACAGGCATTTTCCCAACCTTAGTATGAAATAGTACTTCTCAGCTGAGGGTGATTTTTCCCCCTAGAGGAATTCGACAATATTTAGGGACGTTTTGGTTTTTATAGCCAGAGGAGGGGTGCTACTGGCGTCTAGTGGGAAGAGGCCAAGGATGTTGCTAACCATCCTACAGTGCAGAAGACAGCCCTTACAACAAAGAACTATATGACCCAAAAGGTCAGTAGTGCTGAGGTTGAGAAACCCTGGCTTCAGGTAAAGAAAAAGTGAGAATTGTTGTGCAGTGGTCGCAGTAAGGATATTAGAGAAATTATTAGGGTTGACCAAGATGGTCAGATTTTCTCAAATATAAACTTATGTATAGCACATATTACTCAGCTTACATAATTAGTTATGTTATCAAATGTGGTGAAGAGATTAATTAGCGAGTCTTAGAAAGTCCATCCTTCTACTTAACAGGCATGCTAACCCTTTACCTCTGTTTTAATTTATAAAACTTGTGAGACTTCCAGAACCTTGTTGGGTAAGGTAGTCCAGGATGCGATCTGTCCCAAAAAGTTTTCATTAGAGAAGAGCTTCGACTTGAGGTGAGCCTCAGATTGAAGGTTTTAAAGATGAATATGGATTGAGTGGCATATGTTTATAAACATGTTAACCACATGTTCTGATTCATTGACTTAAAGAACTGAGATTCTTAACTGGCATCAGGGAGTCAGAAGCTCCTTAATTTGTATGAAAAACATTTGCATTTGGGGGTGGCAAAATGTAATTTTTCTAGGAAGGAAGTTCACACTTTCATCAGATTTAAAGGACTCTGACTCATTCACCTTGGAAGGAAGGTTGGGCAATCTACTTCCATGGAGATAACGCCTTGGAAACATAATGAGGGGTCGCTATGAGTCGAATCGACTGGATGGCAGTGTGTTTGGTTTGGTTTTTTTGTGACTCATTCACTTAGAGGGAAACTGAGGGAAGGTCCCTATCTATTTTTTGGGAACTGTAAGCAGTTTTTCTTAAATAACCAGGAAACAAATGAAAAATTCTCCTATTTTGTGTGTGAGCCCATGTTGTTGTTGGGTGCCATTGAGTCAGTTTTGACTCAGAGAAACCTCTTATACAGCAGACCAAAACACTGCCCAGGCCTGTGCTAGCCTCACAGTTGTTAGGCTTGAGCCTGTCATTGCAGCCACCGTGTCAATCCGTCTCATTGAGGGTCTTCCTCTTTCTCACTGACCCTCTACTTTTCCAAGCCTGATGTCCTTCTCCAGGGACTGGTCTGTCCTGATAGCATGTCCAAAGTACAAGAGACGACGTCTCCCATCGCTTCTAAGGAACATCCAGGCTGTACTTCCTCTAAGACTGAGTTGTTCATTTTAGCAGTATGTGGTACATTCCATATTCTTCGCGTTCATTCTTCGGTCTTCCTTACTTACCCAGCTTTCACATGCATGTGAGGCAGTTGAACAGACCATGACTTCGGTTATATGTACCTTAGTTTTCAAAGTGTTTTTGCTCCAAGCTCACAGACAGATTTTATATTATTTGTTCATTGATACTTTGCTTTTAGATTGAAGATGAACCAAACAAAATTTGTGAAGCTGATCGAGTAGCTATTAAAGCTAACATAGTGCACTTGATGCTTAGCAGCCCGGAGCAGATGCAGAAGCAGGTAACATACGTTCTGCTTTTTAGGTAGGCTTGTTTGTGATGCTTCCATCTAATTAATCCTGTCTTTCCCTCAGCTAAGTGATGCCATTAGCATTATTGGCCGAGAAGATTTCCCACAGAAATGGCCTGACCTGTTGACAGAAATGGTGAATCGCTTCCAGAGTGGAGATTTTCATGTTATTAATGGGGTCCTTCGTACAGCACATTCATTATTTAAAAGGTATTAGTGTATAAATTCATACTTTTTTTTTTTTAATTGTGATTTAGGTGAAAGTTTATAGAGCAAATTCACTTTTCATACAGCTTCTCACATACACTTTGTCTCATGACATTGACTGCTACAAATTCATACTTTTAAAGTGCTTTTCAAATACTTGGTTTTGTAACTTTATTTTTGTGACTGTCGTCACTGCTTTGAATATAGTCATCCTAGAATAAGAGCATAAGACCCCCAGTTCTATATCATGTTTATTTCTTAAGTTTATTCTATGTTGCCCTTTTATCTATAAGATAAACCAGTTGCCATCAAAGGTCAGTTCCGACTCCTGGTAGAAGTGTGCTCCATAGGGTGACCTGTAAGATACCTGATCTGATAAACTATTTGATTCCTTTTAAAGAACAAGAAAAAAAAAATCCCTTTGAATTTCAGAAAGTCATCTAGTTATATTTTGTTTTCTCTAATTAACTTTTATCCCTGAAGACTAAAATGAGTAAACAAAAAATGTTTGATTTGTGTATTTTACTTTAATTGTGTAGATATCGGCATGAATTTAAGTCAAACGAGTTATGGACTGAGATCAAACTGGTTCTGGATGCCTTTGCTTTGCCTTTAACTAATCTATTCAAGGTATGGATTAAAAATTTGGGTGATAACTTGAAATTACTTCGTATTTTAAAATTAAAATTAAAATTTCTTAAATATTTATATAAATTTTATGTTTCAGAGAAAGCTTTGAAACTTACTTGATTTAGAGCAATATTTCCTTTGGAAAATTTCAAACCTACACAGAAATAGAGTATAATGAATTCCCATATATGTATTAGATAAGGTTAACAATGTTTTGCTGTTCTTTTTTTAACTCTCCGCCCCCGCCACCACTGCCCTTTTGCAAAAACATTAGAAAGCAAATCCCAGACTTACACCATTTTACCCGTAAGGAACAAGTATGCGAGTAGATCCACATTTTAATTTGACTGTTTATGGAGTTAAATTAGTTGGTATATTATTTTTTATAGTGCACAGGCTATTTTCTTACTTGATCCTTATGAAAATCCTTTAAGGTAAAAAGGAGAGCAGTATTAACTTTTTCTTCTTATTGAAGAAGGAGATTCACTGTCAAACAGTTAATAAATAAGAGAGCCAGGCTGACTGTAGAGAAGCTGTTGGTTTCTTATTTTCTACAGTTGAGAGCATGTCTGGGATTTTTATTATTAAAATAAAAATATGAGCAAAATGATACTAAAAATCTTAGTCAGAGAACAGTGAAGTGAGTTTGCTTGTGTCCTGTCCACTGGATTGTAACTGGGACTACCTTTCTGGAGGAGAATTTGGCACTGTGTTGAGAAAAACCTTAGCATTCCTATTTTTTGACTCCAGGATATAGGAAATGACACTTGTTGAGTGTCTTTTATATGCCAGGTGCTTACCAAGTACCAGGACCTTTTATATATATCTTCTCATTAAATTCTCACATTCTGTCTACGAGGTAGGCCTTAGTCCTATATTACAGTGAGGAGATCAGAGCTCGTAGTGAAGAAAACTGGTTCAGAGGTGTGCTCATTACGAGTAACAGAGTTGGGGTTGTAGCTTGGGCTGTCTGGCTTCTGAAACCTGTGCTCACAACGTACTATGCTGCCTTACAATATACTTCTAGAGTCTGTGGCTGGAAGTGAGAGGTATGCACACGGAGCTCTTGGTATAAGCTTGTTTACTACAATATATGAAAAATAATGAGCAATTGGAAATAGTCTAAATGCCATATGGCTAGAGAATGATCTAATGCAAGCATGTAAACATGTATTTGTGAAATTTATATCCACATACACATACAGGAAAGATTGGAAAGATGTAGTTCAAAATACTAACATTGAACTTTTCAGTAGTGCTATTATAGACTTAAAAGATAGACTTCAGCATATCAGTGACTGTATGTTGTTGTTGTTAATGTGCTGTCGAGTCAGATCCGACTCACAGCGACCTCTTCTTGGGTTTCCGAGGCAGTATCACTACGGAAGTAGACTGCCCCACCTTCCTTCCGAGGAGTGGCTGGTGGGTTTGAACTGCCAACCTTCTGGTTAGCAGTCAAGTGCCTTAGGTACTATGCTACCAGAGCTCCAGTGACTATATAGTACCATTTAAAAATCAAATTTTGGAGAATGTTGAGTGTCAGCCTACTGCAGGGTGACTTAATGTCACCTAGATAAGTGTGCTAGGTTTACAATACACTAAAACCATGTTCTTCAATTCTCTTTTTTCCTAGGCCACTATTGAACTCTGCAGTACCCATGCAAATGATGTTTCTGCCCTGAGGATTCTTTTCTCTTCCCTAATTCTGATCTCAAAACTGTTCTATAGTTTAAACTTCCAGGTAAGTTTCATTTTATTTCTTGTTTAGGATCCCTGTTCTCTGTTTGATGAAGATCTTTTTGCATGAATTGATTTTTTCTGAAACTAGTTTTTTCTAATTCCCTATCTTTTCAGAGTTTGAGTGTCACTTTAGAGTCACAAAGAATTACAGATCCACAGATACTGAAAATGTATTAAAACAGCATTTCACAAACAACTGTTCTACCTTATAGTAGTTCCTAGAGTTGTGAACAGATGTTTCATGGGAAAAGGTAGCAAACTCTTGTATTCTAATAAATTAGGGAAACCCTATATCCTGAGTCACCTTTTGAAGAGCTGCTCTGTACTAAGAAATCCCATTAGGGAAACTTCTCTGATAAGGGTCTTTTGTTGCAAAGAACATATAGAACCTTGGCTAGCTTAGACTTATACTTTTATTGGAATTATGTAGGAGAGTGGCAGAAACAACAGGCTGAAGAATAAGGCTTTGAAAGGGGTGAGAATCAATGGCATTTCAAAAGAAACCGCCACAATCTTGACCAGAAAACGCCTGCTCACCTTGTTGTTACTGAGTTAGTGACCGCCAGTCATTCTTTTTGTTCTTGAGTCATTAACTTAAGATGCAGAGAGAAGTAACTATTGGTGCAGTTTACTAGACTGAGTTGCAGGAGGAAGAATCTGGCGCGCTCATTGTTCACAGAAAGGGCCCAGTACCTGGACTTACATCACAACACAACTACACTCATCAGTAGGGAGAGCATTTCCCAGGAGGAAATTGGGAGTCGTCAGTTCAGCTGGGCAGCAGTTGGACAGTTCTGACTCAGTGAATACTACCGTTTTCCCTTAGATCTTCATTTCTGCTTCTGAGAAGTCAGGTGAAAGGAAGCACTTAATTTCTTAGGCCTAATCAGGATGACTGGAAGGTGGTGTGGTCTTTGCCTTCAGAGGACTTATCCCCTAATTAGAACATAGTCTTGTGCCCCAGGGAATAAGTCGCAGAAAAGAAAGGAGCAATAAGTTTTGAAAGGAAAATCTTTGCACAGTCTTAGATGGATCTTGAAGGAATAAGTAGATTTAGACTGGAGACAAGAAGTATTAGTGGGCAGTATTTGTGATGAATGGTAAGAACAGAGGCAAAAATCAGAATGGTGTATTCAGTTGCCAGACTTAGTTGGAGCAGAGAATCCTTAGCAAAATAGATACGGTTTTCTCAGACCAGGAAGTTTGGCATTTGGATAGCTCTGGGAAGAGGAGTGTGTGTGTAAACTCACTAAAAGAAAAGTCCTAAGTCAGTGTTATTTTTTAGGATCTTCCTGAATTTTTTGAAGATAATATGGAAACTTGGATGAATAACTTTCATACCCTCTTGACATTAGATAATAAGCTTCTGCAGACTGATGTAAGTATTGTTTAAAATACTTGCCTTAATAGCTATTTTTTAAAAAAAAGTCATTGAGTACTATTCTGGTTATCTAGTGCCGTTCTGACAGGAATACACCACAAATGGGATGGCCTTAACAAACAGGAGTTTATTCTTACGATTTGGAGGCTTTAAGTCCAAGTTCAAAGTGCCAGACTCTAGGGGCTGTGTGAAAGTCCCTCAGCCTTGGGCTTCAGCTCTGCCTCCAGCTCCTGGCCCCCTGAAGCTAGAGGCTTTTCTTCACTCAGACAGCTGTTGGCTGCTGAGGCTGCCCAGCCCATGGTTGACACGTGAAAAGGCACAGTCCCAATATTACCAAATTACACATGGCAGGCCATTAATTCAAGTCCATTGTAAGTCCCAAGGTTGGCAGAGAGCATGGCAGGCTGCTGAACAACGACATGGCTACATGCAGGGTTCAAGGTGCCATAAGCTAGAGACTATCCCCAAGGCTTCTCCTTATATACAGGAAACAGTGAATACCACATCCCAAAGACAGCTACTCATCTGCTTGTGGTAGATCCCACCAGATCCCACCCAGTCTCATCATGGGGAATAACTACCAATAGCTGCCCAGCCACTCAACCAGGCCCAGCCAAGTTGACACACAAGATGAACTACCACAAGTACCCTTTATTAAACTTTATAAAATTAAATGAGAAGTTGAGAGAATTTTTGCTTTTTCTCATGTGTTCAAAAGTGTCATGTTTGTGTCCTTAAAAATTATTTACTCTTGCATTGTTAATAGATTATATTCCAAATATGCAAGTAATGTTTGATTCTGTTGCGTGATCCGTATTTACTTACGTGTAGTATACAGAATTAGTCTTATTGTGGGACTGGCTTAGATCACAGTGTATTGATAAGACTGTTACCTCTTCTAAATTTTGGTAAAAGATATTTGTGGATTGCTATTGCAGTGGCGATTAGTACGTAAATCATTGTCATGGTTTACATTGGAATTTGGAAACTTTTTCTATAAAGGGTCAGGTAAGAAATATTTTCAGCTTTGAGGACCATACAGTCTCTCTTGCAGCTGCATGGTTCTGCAGCCATAGATAGTACTATGAATAACCATAGCCATAGATGGTATAAATGAATAAACAAATGAGTACAACTGTGTTCTAATGTTTTGTAAATTTTATTTATGAAATAGGCAGCAGGCCGGGTTTGACCTGCAGACTGTAGTTTGCTGACCCCTGATTTGTTTAATATTTTATAGTCAAAATATTACAGTGAGAATTGCATAGGATTACCAACTTTTTTTGTGTTGGAGGAGTGGAAGGTTAGAAATCTTAATAGATTTGAAATGAGAGCCTTTTGGGAGACTGTAAGACAATTAACCATACTGAAAGGGAATATTTGATGTGATCTTTATGTTTGCAGGGTTCTCCAGGTTTCTATAGGAATATATTATTTCTAGTTTAATTTGTAAATATTTTAATAATTCACCAGCCAAAAAAAAGGCTTTAACTTAACAACTTTTCAGAACAGGTCTTAGTGATAGAAATATGTAAAGTGTACCATCATGGATGTAGTTAAAAACCCCTGGCTTTGGATTCAGATTTTAAGGAGTCTAGTTCAGGAATCACAGTGCTCTATATTTACGGCGGGAGCTCTGGTAGTGTAGTGCCTAAGGCATTTTTTTGCTAACCAGAAGGCTAGCGGATCAAACCCAGCAGCCACTCCTTAGAAGGAGGATTCAACAGTCTACTTCTATAGAGGTACCCACTTGGAATCCCAAGGAGGGGGTCTGTATGAGTTGATTTGACAGCAGTGAGTTTGGTTTTTTTTTTTTTTTTTTTTTTAAGGTAGCATTAAAGTTGTATGTTTGAGTTTTCTGTTTTTCTTTTATGTGAGGATGAAGAGGAAGCAGGCTTATTGGAGCTCTTAAAATCCCAGATCTGCGATAATGCTGCACTCTATGCACAAAAGTATGATGAAGAATTTCAGCGGTACCTGCCTCGTTTTGTCACAGCCATCTGGAATTTATTAGTTACAACAGGTCAAGAGGTTAAATACGATTTGGTAAGATGATGGTGGAAACAAAGAATTAAAAGACATTCAGTTCCCTATTTCCCCCAAGAAGTAAACTGTTCACCTTTGCCTTTAATAATATGCTAATTTTTTGTGTTTTATTCCAGTTGGTAAGTAATGCAATTCAGTTTCTGGCGTCAGTTTGTGAGAGACCACATTATAAGAATCTGTTTGAGGACCAGAACACACTGACAAGTATCTGTGAAAAAGTTATTGTGCCTAACATGGAATTTAGAGGTAATTACGGCAGGGTATAAAGTTTTTTCAGGAGTTAAAAGCTCCCAGTTTTTTTAAGTTTATTAGTATAAAAATTGATATTTTTACCTCATTTCTCTGAGTACTATATTGCTCTACTTTATTTTTTAATCAGTACATAAAACCTTTGTGGGTCATTTATTGCCTGTTTTCTAAAACTTGACAGAAAATGTGGTATAAAAGGCATTTGTGAAACTATGCTTTGCAGAGCTTGTCTGTGGACCATGGGGATGTTTCCACAGAAATGCTGAACAGGACTTTTAAAATCCTGTTATATGGAAGAAAAAGGAAACATCTAGGATCTCACTTTAGAGAAAACTTGGTTTTGTTAGATTTAGTAGATCAGCTGACTTGAGAATAGCAGTCATGGGAGCCCACCGAGTTTGTACCTAAGCTTAAAATTGTCCCAGGGCCTGAAGCATGTTTGTATGCACCACGTCCTTTCCCTTTCTTACTGCTGGGAACAACACGTCGTGCGGTAGGCGGGATTGTGTTTCATATCAAAACACTCATTAGATCAGTGGTTCCCAAAGTGGCATTCTGTAGTAAAATGAGGACCGTAAGAATAATGTAGTGTTTTGTGCTTTCATAAAACACTTAATTAAAGGACTGATGTTTATTCTGTTACTATCCATCTTTTTTGGTATTGAAATGGTTGTTATGAAATAATGGTGATACAGAATTTTTTTCTTCTTTTAATGTCATCTGGCAAACTAATATGTTGGTGTCCTTAGATTTGAAAAAAAAAAAATCTGTCAAGTCAGTTCCAACTTATAGCAACCCCCATTGGGTTTCCAAGGCTGTAAATCTTTATGGAAGTAGTTTACCTCATCTTCCTCCCATGGTGCAGCTGGTGGGTTTGAACTGCCAACCTTCTGGTTAGCAGCCAAATGCCTTACCACCACACTACAGGACATTTACTTTTTAACAAGTGGTTATTAAGAGCCAACTATGGGACCCTGCCATATTAGAACAAGTGTTACCTACTACTTGTCAGGGTGGTAACTGCTACTCATGGTGATGTTTCAGAGGATACGAAGTGGTCCTTTGATGGGAAAGTGTGTATTGCTGTGAAACAAGACAATTGTACATACTCCTTTGCATACCAAGTTACAGAATACACGAGAGTGACTTGCCATGGCTTTGCAGGGGTTATCTGAAATATCCACTCTCTTTGTAGCTGCTGATGAGGAAGCATTTGAAGATAACTCTGAGGAGTATATAAGAAGAGATTTGGAAGGATCTGGTGTGTATTTCAGTTTTTAACTGTTAGTCTCTTAGCAGGTCAGTTTTTAAACTGTTCCCTTTCTAGTAACTGAGGAAGCGTGAGAGTTGGATAAGAGCGTCATCTCAGCTGGCTTTCATTGGAGAAATGTTTTTCTTCTTTAACTTGTAAACCTTACAAAGCAGCTCTTCTATGAGCTGCACCAGAATATCCAAGGTTGACTCATTTACCTTCACTTTCTTACATGCTTCTTAGTGTTTCTGAAACTACTGTGATCTCTTTATAGTCTCATTCCTGTTTTGTGGCTTTTGTTCTGGGGAAGGGGATGCTCTTTTAATTGGTTTATGTTTCTGATGGCTGTCAGGTGACAATTTGTTTTCTTACAAATGTGATCAGTGGTTGGTGGTTGTTTCTTTCTTCCATGATTATATTTCCGTTTGGTTTTATAGATATTGATACTAGACGCAGGGCTGCTTGTGATCTTGTACGAGGATTATGCAAGTTTTTTGAGGGACCCGTGACAGGAATCTTCTCTGGTTATGTTAATTCCATGCTGCAGGAATATGCAAAAAATCCATCTGTCAACTGGAAACACAAAGATGCAGCCATTTACCTAGTGACATCTTTAGCATCAAAAGCCCAAACACAGAAGGTGATTCTTTTCAATATGGTTTTGTTTCTAAAACAGACTTGTCAGTAATCACAGAAGTCAAGTAGTAACCTCTCTCTGATGATACAGCCTGCTCTGCCTGATAACCAGATACATTGTAATCACCTGTTAGCTCTCATTGGAATTTTCATCATCTCCAAAGATGGCTTTATATTTGACTGATGCCATAGTTATTACCTTAGCTTAGACTCAATGTATAAAACATGCTATATTTAAATTTTGCTATTCTTTAATTTAGGGACATTTCTTTATTATCTATTGTTGTTGTTGTTATGTGCCATCGAGTCGGACCTGACTCATAGCGACCCCTCTTTGGGTTTCCGAGGCAGTGTCACTACGGAAGTAGATTGCCCCATCTTCCTTCCGAGGAGTGGCTGGTGGGTTTGAACCGCCAGCCCTCTGGTTAGCAGTCAAGTGCCTTAGCCACTGTGCTACCAGAGCTCCCATTATCTATTGAGAAAGTCTTATTTTATATATAAGCAGTTTGTGTTCTGAGGTGTTACTCTCTGTTTTTAATGTGGTTTTCTAACGTTTCCTAGAGTTCTGTTCTGGTTGATACATAGAAGTACTTCATGTTAATTTACTTGTTTACAAATTTGCTTTTCAGCATGGGATTACACAAGCAAATGAACTTGTAAATCTTACTGAGTTCTTTGTGAATCACATTCTCCCTGATTTAAAATCAGCTAATGGTGAGTTTTTGAAATTTTTTCTTTTGTACAACTTACAACACTATACCTGCAGATTTTTGTTTGCATCAGTTTTTATACTACAGAATAAGTCATAATAAGCAAACATTGTAATAAGGGCTGTGTATAACAGTGATGGTCTTAAAACCAGTTCCTAGTCTTATTGCAGTTCTTTCTTTTATTGAATAAAATCTTAAATGGTTTCCTCAGATCCTCCCTAGGTGAAATTAACTTTCTATAAAGAAGGTATCACTTGTATGGAAAGAACACAGAAGTGAGTAGAAGTGACCTGTAACTTAACTTTTATTTTGGTATAGGCATGGTGATCATACTTTAGTTTCCTTTCTATCTCATTTGAAAAATAATCTCTGTAAAAAAACAGAGATAAATTTCAGAGTACTTGAAACAGATAAATACTATGGATCATTTCCTATAGAGTGTGCTAATAAAGCTTACCGTGTATGTGTGTGTGTGTGTGTGTCTGTCTGTCCATTTTATTTATTTACTTATTTATTTTGCTTTGTATGGAAATTTTAAAATACACTCAGAGATAGAATGTTACAATGAGCTTCCATGCTACCATTACCCAGCTTCAAGAATTATTACAGTTTGGCCAGTGTTCTTTCATCTATCCCTTTGACTCATTTATATTTCTACCATTAGGGTAATTTTAAAGGAGCCCTAGTGGCTCATTTAGCATTCGGCTACTAACCACAATGTTGGTGGTTTGAACCGACCAGCCATTCCGTGGGAGAAAGATTTAGCAGTCTGCCTCCATAAAGATTACAGCTTTGGAAACCCTGTGGGGCTGCTCTCCTCGGACTGTAGGATTACCATGAGTTAGGAGCGACTTGACAGCAGTAGGGTAGGGTAGGGTACATCCCAGCCAGAGCCGTGTGTTCTTAATTTTGAGTAGCTACACTCTGGAATTAGAACACAGTCCAGTCTCTTTTCGTTCAAATATATTAGTAATATATGGTCATTTGTGGTGAAACTTAAATTAAGGAAGGGCAGAGAATTAATGGCTACATACAAAATGGAACATTATATAATTAAGTGGCTTGAATCATTTGACATTTTGGTTACCAAAGCCAATTTTTAAAATCTGGTAATACTGTCATTAGTTTGACAGTAACAATCTGATTAACTGGCTTCACACTTAAATAACTATGACTTTTTATTCTTTTACTAGTGAATGAATTTCCTGTCCTTAAAGCTGATGGTATCAAATATATTATGATTTTTAGAAATCAAGTAAGTAGCTTTTCATTTATTATATGCCACTTTTCACATAAGTCTTGTTATGTACCAGCCTCTCTTCTCCTGAACTGTGGAATCATTTGAGATCCACATCTAACAAAATTTAACAGTAATTCCTTAATGGCTTCTGATTCTGGCCCATGCTTTATTTTCCTTGTCTCAAAAATATCTCTTTATAATGGTTTTATTAAAAAATAGATCCAGACAAAGCCCACACATTGCTTATGGTTGATTTTGTCTCAGATCTCTTAACTGCAGGTTAGAGGCCCTCCTGCTTGTCTTTATGCCTGTTACTTATTGGAGAAACTAGTAATTTATTTTGTAGAATTTCTCACATTCTGCTTATAGCTGAATGTATCCTCATGGCATCGTTCCTATTGTTCCTCTGTTCCCTGTACTTGTAAATAAACTGGTAGACATGGAGGCTTGGTTAGATTTAGATTCTCTAGAGGGGGACATGTCTCTGCCATCAGTATCCTTTGGTTTCCTTAATCAAACAAAACAAAAACATAATGTTTGGTTGTCTACTTTTGTGATAGAGTGATGAATGAGCTCAGGTGAAGAAACTCTCTTGATAATTTTTAAAATACTGTTCTTTCAAATTAAGATATATTTCACATGACATAAAAGTTACCATTTTGAAATGTACATTTAGTGGTTTTTAGTCTATCTCATTGACAAGTGTTATTACTACTGTATACAGAAAAATAGGTTAAATGCTTATGTTTTTCCCCTCTATCAATTTTAAAGCAGTGAGTTAGTGCCTTAGCAATCTCCAAAATGGCAAATAAGGTGTTTTTTGGGGGTGCTGTGGTTCTTGGCTCTCTGGTAGTTTAGTGCCTAAGGCATTTGACTGCTAACCAGAAGGCTGGCAGTTCAAACCCACCAGGTGCTCCATGGAAGGAATATGGAGCAATCCACTTTTGTAAAGATTTAACTGCCTCAGAAACCCAATGGGCATCGCTATGAGTAGGAATCAACTTGATGGCAGTGGGTTAGTTTCAAAAAAACAATTAACTGTTGCTAATGTAAGACCACTAAATGCAGTTTAATTTTTTTGTAGTTTTTTTATGCCCTTCAGATATTACCGTTAGCCACCAACAGAGTAAACAAGTAGGTGCGTTTGTGAGTGTTTTGTTTTGGGGGGTGCCAAAGGGGCAGGGAGGCCACATCTTCTGACCTCCTCTAACCCCACAAGAGGAAGATAGTTCCTCTCGCAGCACTCACTACCTCTCTGCTGGGTTTGATAATTTGCTGCAGGGGCCGCACAGAACTCATGATTATGGGGTTTATTAGGAAAGCAACGGGCTACAATTCAAGTTCAGGAACATGCTCAGTCTCTTGTCTGCCCGCTGTCTCTCAGCTGACAGTCTCTCTTAGCAGTGGGTGTCTCTTGCTTCTCTTAGCCAGCACTGAGAGATTTCTTCTGCCTCTAGGAGGGCTCCTTTTGAGCCTGGCAGAGTGGCAAACTAACCAATTTCAACATCACAGTTTTACACACCTGAGGGAGAGTGAACTTCCCAGAAAATTACTTTGTGGTGCTCCCAACAGAAATACCCCAGGTGGATAACTTTAACATCAGGAGCTACTTAGTTGCTCACTGCAAATACCACCACGGAGTTTACAAAGACTTACGGCTAGAAAAGCCACACTATGTAATTTACTACACTGCAGTGGGGCGTAGATGGCACTGCTTTACATGACTCCAAAGTCAAATGATAAAAAACAAAAGGTCAAAAGGTACATTCAGAAAGGTCTCACTTTGATCCTTGTGCCTTTCTCCTTAGTCCCCCTTCCCTAAAGGTAACCATGTGCTCTCCGTGTTTTTGCACTTTTTTTTACTTGGTAAATCCTGCATATCATCCATAGTACTTACGTCTTCTCATTCTTTTTTCATATCTGCCTAGTACTACCCTGGTTGACTCAGCTATCTGCTATAGATAGATATTTTGGTTGTGTTCTGCCTCTTGGCATTTTGACTGGCCTTGTGTTGCTTTGAATTTTTGCCATCGTGAATGGGGGTTCGATTCCTAGAGGTTGGATTGCTAGATTAGAAAGTAATACGTATGTGATTTTGCTAGATATTGTTGAATCCTCTTTCAAAGGGTTGTACCATATTGGAAATTCTTTCAGAAATGAATGAGAATGCCTATTTTCCCAGTAGAATGTGTTGGAGTTGTGCCAATCTGATGGAAGAGAAATGGCATCTCGTTGTAGTTTTAATTTGCTTTTTTCTTATTTCAATTTAGGTTGAACATCATTTCATTTTTTAAGGGACATTTGCGTTTCTTTCCTGTGAACTATCCATATTCTTCTGCCCATTTTTAATGTGTTTTTTCTTCTTAATTTTAAGAAGCATGGCTTTTGTTTTGATATGTACACTTTAAGTTACTTTCATGTTAGTGAGATAAAAAATAAAATATACAAAATCATATTCCCGTAACACTTCTTCCCAGTAACACTGCTTCCATTTTGCAAAATATATAAAACACACAAGAATGGAGAATACTGTAATGAGTCCCCCATACCCACCACACACCTCCATGCCCTTGTTGCTTAAATATAGAAACATAGTACTGGCACCCTGGGCACCTTCTACTCTATCCCCAGAGTTAATTACTAGAATCAGTTTAGGTAGTTTCATACCCATGTATGTGTTCCTACTTGTACTACCTATTTATATATCCATAAAAATTAAGTAGTATTCTGTAGGTTTTAACTATAGAGCACAGGTATACTCTGCAACACATGGGGTCACCATAAGTCAGAATCTACCTAATGGCAGCTGGTTTGTGGTTTTTTGTAGGTTTTAAAGTTTTGTTTTTGAGAGTTATTAATCTTAGTAGCTATGGTTCATTTTTAAACAGTTGCGTAGTATTCTATCAAAAGACCATGCCGTGGCAGTATTTCCTGTGGATGATTCTTTGATTTCTTCATTTTAAAAATTACAATTTTGATGTGTCTTTGTCAGTACTTGTCAAGGTTACTGTGCTGTGCAACCTAAAGTTACTCTGTTTTCCTGACTCCATAATGTATGTTCTAGATTTTTAGAGGTGTTTAATGATAGTCAGTATTATTTTTGGGCCCCCCCTTTTGTTTTTTGAAAGAGAAAATGAGGCATAAAGAGGTTAAATGACTTTGCAAGAAATACCTGAGAGTGAAAAGTACAATTCTTAAAATTAGCACAATCTTCGTCTGCTTCTCCTTGATACTATTCTATTGTATGTTTACTTATCTGTAAGATTTACCTTCATCTTAGTTTTGTTAAGGTTCTTAGAAAAATAATTGGAATGTGAATTGAGTCATTTTGTAGAGGAGGGTCGAGATTCTCCATAGTCTGATGTCCCATTGCAACAGAGCCTTTAACCAAACAACTTTGTAAAATCAGCAAACCCTTTTTCAGTTACATTTTACTCTAAAATGGCATCATCTTTTAATAAAAGTATGTATGTTGTGTTTTTCAGGTACCAAAAGAACATCTTTTAGTCTCTATCCCTCTTTTGATTAATCATCTTCAAGCTGAAAGTATTGTTGTTCACACGTATGCAGCTCACGCTCTCGAAAGGCTGTTTACTATGAGAGGGCCTGGTAATGCCACTCTGTGAGTATTTGGTTCTAAGCTGTTTATGTATTTTCTTGTAGCTCAGGTTCGATACTGTGTCAGAAATGTCTCTGAATAGATTCATAATTTCATTTGTAGTTAGGAAAAGAAATGTGTGCTTTTTACCCAGTTGTACTCTGAATTCAAGAAGGGTGTGAAGCAGCTTACTAAAATAGGTGCACTGTGACAGAGCATAGTGAAATACAGGAGGAAATTGGAGCAAAGCAAATGGACTGTTAGGTGAGATTAATAAACAGAAGTATTACGCCAAAAGATTCTGTGCTGTAGGCATAGAAGTGCCCGGAATTTTATTTGGAGTTTACTGACAGCCAAGACAGAAAAAGAAGCCTGGTGAGTTAAAACAGTCACAGTCTCCTTGGAAAGCACCTTAGCAGTGGGTCTTGGGTAAGGGAATACCGTGTCCCTAGTGAGCAGTTTCGGACAAGTTCAGACGGCATTCATTTTCACATGGCTGTAGTCTCGCTGTCATTGCTGAGGTGGAACACAGCTGTGAGGAAGTAATTCTTTAGAAGCCTAGCAGTCACTCTTCTGACCTGATCCAAGAACAAAAGGTAGATGATGGGATGGTCTGCTCATGTTTCAGGCCATTCTGTAATAGCATTTTTTCTTAAAACTTAGCTTTGGGTTAGAGATGGGTAACTGTTCTAGGTTCTTTGCTCCATGAAAAACGTGAACTACAGACACCCTTAGTGGCCAAATAAGGGTTGAGAGAACATCCCTTAAGGTGAGTCAAAGCAGTACCTGTCTTCAGGCCCAGAGCTGATGCAGAAAACAGTTTAAATTTGCTCTGCCTCCAGAAAAGGTGGACACCAGTAGTCCAAGTCCTGACACTGGTGTGATCAGTAGGAACCATTGCAGCTTTAGGTTATCTTGGGTTTCCCTGAATTTTGGTTTCTTGAACTGTTTGGTCTCACATGTGCTTTCTTTATGAGTTTAGCATGAGCAGATATAAGAATCTATTTCCCTCCGCTGCCAGCCAGTTGTCAGTGGTGAGAGATGGCGTGGTTTCTTGCTGAGACACGTGATTAGGAGTTAGTGCCAAGGCTGTTCCACGATGACAAGCTCAAGAGTTGGCGGTGACTGAAAGCTGTTTTTTCATCTATAGCTTTACAGCGGCAGAAATCGCACCGTTTGTTGAGATTCTGCTGACAAACCTTTTCAAAGCTCTCACACTTCCTGGCTCTTCAGAAAATGAATATATTATGAAAGGTAGGCCTTCCTTGGGGTACAGATGGGAATTAAGTATCTAATCACTGATTACAAAGGTAAACACTCTGAGCTGCACTTCAGGCTACATATTCTGTGAACTAGATACACTCTTTGCCAAGAATTTGGCAGGTTTAGTTATCTATAACTGAAAGATACTGCTTTGTTTATATCAAGTGTTTTCAGTACGTTTTTACATTAACTTGATATAGAGCCCCTCTTAAAAAAAAGCATCAAACTTTTTTCCCCCCTTGTAGTGAACTTCCTGAGAGCAAGGGTCAGATCATGCAACACACATTGAGGGCCTGCTGTGCTAGGTCTTGGTGAAACATGGGTCTACACGGCAGACCCCACAATGACCCTGCCTTCATAGACGTACTGCCAAGGACACAGGCAGATGTAACCATCTGCCAAGAGCTGCATTAGGGGAGTCTCCTGATCCCTGACATTAGAGACAATCACAGTCTTACTGTCACATCCAAGAACCCACAGGAAATACTCTTCAAAGAAACTGTCCCTGATGCCTGTAGCCTAGCTCACGATGGCTTTTGAATATGTTTGGTTTTGCACTACTACCAACAGAGATGTCTGATTATTTTGCTTCGTGTCCATTTCTATGAGGGCAGTTAACTGGCTATGGGCTTCAATGCTGTATTCCTAGGGTATGCAGAACACCCAAGTTGTAATACCTTCCCAATAAATATCATATAAGTGGATAAGGATTCCTTTCCAGCCCAGAGGAGGGGCACGCAGTTCATCCTTTCTCAGATACAGGAATGGCTTTCTCTAGGAATTGACATCTGAGCTGAGATGTGAGTGGTAGGTAGCAGTCAGCTAGTCTGAAGGGTGAGTGGGTCTTTGGCTCAAATAGAGGAAATCACATTCAGAATTTTGGAGGCAAGAGAAGATTAACTTTCTGCCCCTGTGCCAGGCATGTAGGAGGTATTCTGCTTAGTATGCGTGTTTCTATTTGTGGAAAGAGCTGACATCATTTTTACCTTCCTAATGTATTCTCCGGGAGCTCTGGTAGCATAGTGGCTAAGACACTTGACTGCTAACCAGAAGGCTGGCGGTTCAAACCCACCAGCCACTCCTCGGAAGGAAGGTTGGGCAATCCTACTTCCGTAGTGATACTGCCTCGGAAACCCAAGGAGGGGTCGCTATGAGTCAGGGCTGACTCGACGGCACATGACAACAACAACAACAATGTATTCTCCACTCCTCGGAAGGAAGATGGGGCAGTCTACTTCCGTAGTGACACTGTCTCGGAAGTCCAAGGAGGGGGTCGCTATGAGTTGGGTGTGACTCCATGGCACATAACAACAACAGTGTATTCTCAGGAGCTCTGGTAGCATAGTGCCTAAAGCATTTGTTTGCTAACCAGAAGGTTGACAGTTCAAACTCATCAGCCACTCCTCGGAAGGAATGTTGGGCAATCTACTTCTGTAGTGATACTGCCTTAGAAACCCAAGAAGGGGTCGCTATGAGTCGTATGTGACTCGACAGCAATGAGTTTGGTTTGGAGTGTATTTCTCTCATGTGAAATGTGAAATATTTTTAGGCAACTATTAATGAGCAGTATTTTTACAGTTTGAGTCCCTCTGTCTTTATATGTATTTTTAGGTTTTTCTTAGGCTCTTACTTTGTCTTTTGGGAGAATGGATAGGAGGCCTTTCCTCTGTTTCTTGTGCACTGAGGCCAGGTTTCCTCCAGGCTAAGGGTAGACATTTCCCGTCATGGCTTTGTAAATGAGAGACCCAAGGCAGTTCTCTGTGGCATTCTGCTGTTGCCTCACCTCCAGCGCTGCCCCAACACCCTGTCTCACCAGCTAGTTCTTCTCTTTGCCTCTTTAGTCACTTATTTTTTGTCCCTTTTTAAATTCTTCAAGCCTTAGGCCTTCTGGAAACACTGGGAGTATTTCCCAGCTAAATTTTTTTGCCAACCTCTGCCCTAATCTCAAAAGGATGGGAAATGGAGATAATTTCTAAATTTGTATAACTACCTCGGTTGGTTAAGCTTCTTAAAATTTCAGTTGATGAATTCATTAGTGGGCTTTTCCTCCCCCTGTTGTTTCATTCTGAAGTTTAGCTTACCTTTTTGTTTCTTCTGTTTATATATTTTACAGCTATCATGAGGAGCTTTTCCCTCCTACAAGAAGCCATAATCCCCTACATCCCTACTCTCATCACTCAGCTTACACAGAAGCTGTTAGCTGTTAGTAAGGTAACAGAGCAATTTTGAAAGTGCATTTACATTTTAACTTTTACTCCAAACTTTTCAGCGATCAGACTCCCTGGTAGGAGGTCAGACTTTGGAGAAGGTCTGTGAATTCCTTCTGACCAGCAGCTAATAAACTTTTCTAAAGATGTAGAGATGGTACTAGATTTCTCGTGTGGCAGTCACCTTTATCTACAGACCTATAAATTGTAAAATATGCTTTTATTCTCATTACAGAAGTTAACATGTTCGCTGTTGAAAACTGAGGAAGTTTGGATAACCTGAAATTGTTTTAAATTTAGGAAAATAGACAGCACTAAGCGGACATAGAGCAGTTGTTTGGGCCTCTGTCAAATGACAACTAAAGCCCTTTGTGTGTCTTTTCTTCCTTGCTCTTATTTCCCAACTATAAAGTATACTCTTTGGTCTAAATTTATATGTATAATTTCATTTGTATTTTATTAATGCTAAGTTTTAGAAAATTTAAAAATCTCTCAAAGACTGACAGAATTCCCTTTCAGATGCTTGTTCCTAATTACTCTATGAAAAAGAGATAAATTGTTAGAAAGTATTACAGGGACCTTGAAGAACAGAGTGATTATTTTTCAACTAAATTCTGGGCAAGGATCTTGAACTACTTTGATCCCTGGGGGGAGCACAAGAGAAGGGAAGCAGTTACCACCTTCATCCAGAATATACACCCCTTGTCAAGTACATAGAAACACTCGTCTTCTGACTTTGACATGGTAGCCTGCCAAGAAGGATTTTGTTAGAAGGAAATAGGGTTTTGGTGCTTAAAAAAACACTTGGAAACCAGTGGTATGGACCATCACCAGTCTGTAGATACCAACATCTAGACCCATAGCACTTAGGTTTGCCACAGTCCCACACAGGGCTGGGGCAGAGCCCGAACTCCATGTTCCTGCTCTGGCTTGTTTCTGCTGTCACCAGCATCTGGCCTTACTCTCCCAGTGGTGGCTCTTTGAGAGCGCCCAGGCTGAAGATGGGTCCTTACAGCTCTGGGAGCTAAGGGTTATGTCATCACTACTATGATTCTGGACTTTAGCCCATTACAAATAAATACTAATGAGTATTGTTTTTATACTTTGAATTTTAAAGTAAATTTAAAATTCTAGCATCTGAACAGTCTTTTTAGTGTAACTGGTATTTTTTTCTTAATATTGCTTAAAAAGGTTCTATTTTAATAAATGTATTTTATAATGGTTAGATGTGTTTTAGTTATTTAATATAATCACTTGGATTATTAGGATAATCAGCTTTTTTATTATTAAATTTCAGAACCCAAGCAAACCTCACTTTAATCACTACATGTTCGAAGCAATTTGTTTATCCATAAGAATAACTTGCAAAGCTAACCCAGCTGCTGTTGTAAATTTTGAGGAGGCTTTGTTTCTGGTGTTTACTGAAATTTTACAAAATGATGTGCAAGGTAAGTTAAAGGAAGCTATCTTCTCCAGTGGAATAAAGTGATTAAAGTCGCTGTAAAATGCAGCCTGCCTAAGATGTGTGCCTTTGTTATCGGAGTCTTTCATTCTGAAGCTAACAGCCATGTTTACTTTTATCAACAGAATTTATTCCCTACGTCTTTCAAGTGATGTCTTTGCTTCTGGAAACACATAAAAGTGACATCCCATCTTCCTACATGGCCTTATTTCCTCACCTCTTGCAGCCAGTGCTCTGGGAGAGGACGGGGAACATCCCTGCCCTAGTGAGGCTGCTCCAGGCCTTCTTAGAACGCGGCGCAAGCACAATCGCGAGGGCCGCAGCGGACAAAATCGTGAGTCAGATTCAGTTCCGGCTTCTGAAGTAGCTCTGAGAAAGTAAGGACAGCAGGTCTTAAATTGTTTCTTATTTTGTTGTAAAACAGCAAAACATACAACATAACATTTGCCAGTTCAACAGAGTTTTTAAAAACATCTTAATTTCAAATGAATTTAATAAAGGAGGTGATGAGGTACTTGGTGAAAAATGTTACTGTGGTTTTTAATACAATTAAGTATCTTTTAGTAATTATCTCAGTGATGGAAACTTTAAAAAGTCAAATGGATTAATTTTAAGTACTTTAAGGGCTTATTCCCACCTCAGTCCTCCCCCATACATTTTAAGGGAAAACGGTAATTTTTAAAATCATGTATGCAGCTACTAACTGAAAGGTTGTCAGTTCAAAGCCACCAGCCGTTACACAGGAGAAAGATGAGGCAGTCTGCTTCTGTGAGATTCACAGCCTTGGAGACCCTGCAGGGCAATTCACTCTGTCCTACAGGGTGTCTGTGAGTCAGAATCGACTTGATAGCAGTCTGCTTCATTGTGTCTATTTGATCTGATTTGTTACAGCCTGGGTTACTAGGTGTCTTCCAGAAGCTGATTGCATCTAAAGCAAATGACCACCAAGGTTTCTATCTTCTAAACAGTATAATAGAGCACATGCCCCCGTGAGTACAAATATAACCTCACTGTGAATCAGAGATTTTCTTTATACTCAGAAAAATGCTATATTACATAATGGCTTTTTCCTTTAATTCTTCAGTGAATCAGTTGACCAATACAGGAAGCAGATCTTCATTCTGCTATTCCAGAGACTTCAGAATTCCAAAACAACAAAGTTTATCAAGAGTAAGTCAAGTCATTTGGGTGTTCCTATAGAAATGAAGGAAAGTGGCTAAAACCCTTAGACTTTGTCTCAGCTTCTGGGGGCTGCCATAGGAAAACACCACAGATCAGTTGGTTTTAAAGAAGAGAAACTTACTTTCTCACCGTTTTGGAGGCTAGAAGTCAGAATGCAGGTGTCAGCAGGGCTCTGCTTGCTCTCTCTGGGCTGCAGGAAAAGACCTTTTCTTCGTCTCTCTTCTAAGTGTCTTGTAAGACACTGCTCAGAAAGGACCCATCTCCTCCTCCAGTATGAGGACAGATGACAAATGGAAAGTCCTATCTCCAAACACAGTCCCATTCAAATTACAGGGGTCAGGACTTCCTATCTTGGTGGGGAACACTCAATCCATAACACTTCATGGTTACTGATAATCCTTTTATCAGTTAACAATCTTAAGTATAAAATATTTTTAAATGCTTGTGTTCTCTAAATCCTGAGTCATTTTCAAATATATTGTGTACTAAAGGTTGGTTTATAAGTTCAGATATCAATATATTTTTCCAATAGAAATAATACTGTATTAGAAGTTAAGTAAGTCATTGATGCCAGAGTTAGCAATTGAGTTTTTAATGATTATGAATGTTTCATTTGGCAGAAAGTACTTTTTTATGCTAAGACCTAAACCACTTGTTTAGTGCAATAAATCCATTATATTGACATTCACTATCTTCTTTCAACAGGTTTCTTAGTCTTTATTAATTTGTATTGCATAAAATACGGGGCATTAGCACTACAAGAAATATTTGATGGTATACAACCAAAGTAAGTTTGTTTCTGTTAAGTATTTCACTTAGAAAAGGACAAAATTATTTAACCTCTCCTTTTAGCTCAGACGAGTACCTATTTTATAGATGATTTCATGATTCTTGGTACAGTGGCACCATTGTGATTCTTTTAAAAAGATTCTTGGCATGTTGAGTGATACAGAGGACAATCCCTGCAGAGGCCCAGGGTTACTCCACTCTGGGTACTCTTCTCTTACGGCCAATGTTCTGCCAGAAGATTGATGGTGTTTCCAGGAGCCCACCTCTTCTAAGGCCAACAGCATGGCTTTTTTAAATGAGAAAAGTCCATATTAACAAAACTTTGCTTTTTACTGTTCCTTAGAATATTAATAGAAAAGATAGAATTAGGTGTCATTTTGCATTCATTGGGAAAGGAAGGGTTACAAAGAGATGACAGAGAACAGTGAAATCCCTGTATTGGGTTTGTGAGAAATAAATTAACCCCAAAGTATTCCAGAGAATAGGATTCCCAGCATTAGGGGGTGGTGAAGAGGTCAGCGTGCTCCCGCACAGCCAGTGGGCACCTGAGCTAGTGCTGATGGGCACAGGCTTTCTGCAGAACAAACAATAAGCACTTCCTATCCAAAGCCTTTAAGTCCATACTCTGATACCCAGTATTTCCACCTAAAAGAATTTATTCTGATAAAGCATAAACAAGATTTTGCATAATTTAGAATCTTGAAAACTTTGCTTCTAGGATGTTTTCAACAACATAGCGTGATTGGCCAAATCGTTTTTGTAATACAGCCACTAACATTTCCATAGTTAAAGGTATGTAAGCAAAGAGAGTTAGGTAGGTTATAATCCAAAATTGTTAAAACTAGTTTATCACTGGATGGTGGTATCGTGGGTGTTTATTTTATCTTCTTGTTCTTACCCTTGTTTTCTAATTTCTAATTTTTCAGTGATTTCTTGAGTAATCAAAAAATTAAAGACAAAACTATAGCTGTGAAGATTATCCTTGCGCACAGGCTTAAGATAGTGTGAATGATCATTCACAGAGCTGACAGCCTGGTCACATGGGAGAAGTTTGTTTTTGTTTTGTCATCTCTAGGTCTCTTGATTCATTTCATTTGACAAAAATAGCAGCTTTTTAACTTAATACTTCATGATATTCATAAGGAGTCACTGAGTATATAAATAATCTCTCAGTATTTCTTTCATTATAGTAGTACTCTAATGGAGTTTATTTTGCTGTTAATAGAATGTTTGGAATGGTTTTGGAGAAAATCATTATTCCTGAAATTCAGAAGGTGTCTGGAAACGTAGAAAAAAAGATCTGTGCAGTTGGCATAACCAAATTACTAACAGAATGCCCTCCGATGATGGACACAGAGTATACTAAGCTATGGTAAGTACATCCTTTAAAGTTTTTGGAAATCGCAGCTTCTTCTCCTTGTGACAGCAACATCGAACCAGTCCTTTTTCTTGAGGGCCAAGAGACTCAGGTCCTGATCATGGCTTCTCTACTGGCCACAGTCCTACCCTAGATAAGACTTGTCGTTCCTTCCGAGTCTAGAAAGATCTTGTTTCCTAGTTCTTAACTTTTTTTGGGGAATCATGGACCCCTTTGAGAATCCGATAAAAGTGGTCTAGGTGACCTCTAAGACTGTTTAATGACAGAAACCCAGCCAAACTGGCTGCATTTCTATGAGGGGGAACTGAAGTAGCCAAGAGCAGAGCCTGCCTCCTGTTCTCTGTGTCAGGAGCCTGGCGCTTCTCCACCTCTTGGCGCTTCACTGCCTCTTGGCCCTTTACCTCTTACCTCTCCTCCTTTCCTGTTTTGGTTCCATGCAGGGAGTGGCTTCCCATGACATGATCTGGTAACTTGAGGCTTGTATTTTCCAACTAAAGATCTGGCATTGAATCTCCTTGGTTTGGCACAGGTCACCTGCCCTTCCTATTAGCCAAGCCTGGGTCACATAAAGGAGTCTTGGTGGCTTAGTGGTTAAGCACTCGGCTGCTGGCCACAAGGGTAGTGGTTTGAACTCACCAGATGCTCTGTGGAAGAAGCCCTGGTGATCATGTCCCCAGAGATGGCAGCCTTGGAAACGTTACGGGGCAGTGATGCTCTGGCGTATAGGGTCAATGTGAGTCCGTATTGACTTAACAGCAGCAGGTTTGGTTTGGGGTTTTTTGGGGATGGATTACATAGTCCGAGTTTGAGAGCTGTGGGGGTCTAATAGTTTCCCAAAGACACATTTGGGTTTGGGTGCTATGGCTGATGGAACTGAAGAATACTGTCTGGATAAGCATAAGGTGCTGGTGTCCATCTTAATTTCAAAGGTCTCTTCCTACTCTTGAGATAAATTTTGAGATAAAATTTTGTTTATTGTAGGAATTGCTCCTCATTGTTTAAATCTTCAAAGTATTTTCTTTTGTTTTCCATTCTTTCAATCCAGGACTCCTTTATTACAGTCTCTGATTGGCCTTTTTGAGTTACCTGAAGATGATACCATCCCTGATGAGGAACATTTCATTGACATTGAAGACACACCAGGGTACCAGACTGCCTTCTCACAGTTGGCTTTTGCTGGGAAAAAAGAGCATGATCCCGTGGGTCAAATGGTGAACAACCCCAAAATCCACCTGGCACAGTCCCTTCACAAACTGTCTACTGCCCGTCCAGGGAGGGTGAGTGTCTGGGTTGTCAAAGGACTGAATCCATGGGGGCTTTGAGGCAGGCGAGAGCACAGTGCCCTTTCCATTGGCCAGCAGAATTAGCTTACATCTCAGATTGAATTACATGCACAGCTGACTTTCTTTAGTTACAATGATGTACCCTTTTCTCCCCTTTATGATATTCGGCAAAAACTAGTTTAAACACATGGTTTTAGGAGTAACAAAAAGGGGGGATCTTTGACTAGAAATGCATTTATTTCCCAGATTGAAATCATCAGTCTAGTATGCAAAGCATGAATCCATCCTTAAAATGTAGGCATTTATTTTTTTCTAATTGCAGCATTCCCAGAAATAAAATAGCAGACCGTGGAGTAAATCTAGTGGTGTCTGTATAGTTGCAGTTAGCCAGCATTTCGTTTCCATTGTTTCATTATGAAAAATTCTGCACATGCACAAACAGGAGAGTGTCATGAATCCTCCCATGCCCACTTTTAATGATGACCAACAGTCTACCAGTAGTCTTTCTCTTTTTCTCTCCTTGCTCGAGGATTGCAGAGCAAGCCTTAGACATCACATCATTTTAGGTGTTGGTTTTGTTTTGTATGTAGCTGCACCACTGCTGTCACAGCCATGCCTTGGGGATCTGCTTTTAGACCGCCCATCTTTGAAGGTGTTTAATGGCAGTTGTGGCCTTGGGGAATCCCTTTGGCAGCAGTTTATTTATGAGTGACAGCTCTCATGGGCTGTGGGCTTTGCGTTGGCACAGCAGCGTCCCCAACAGCCAGGTTGTCTTTCTGATCTTTCAGGTCCCGTCGATGGTGAGCACCAGCCTCAACGCAGAAGCTCTCCAGTATCTCCAAGGCTACCTTCAGGCGGCCAGTGTGACACTGCTGTGAGCTGCATTTTTCTGACGGGCTTGTGTGCCATGATGGCTCCTGAGCAAATGATCCTGTAGGCCTTGGAGCAGAGCTGCTTTAAAACAAAGCAAGTTTTCCTTTGAACTTGTCACAAAATCCATCTTGTAAAGGGTATTAAATGTTGCTTTGAGCTGACCTTGAGCAAATTAGGTGGTTTGTGTGATTATACATGTCAGTGGTAATCTTTCCAGTGTGCAGCATCGAGGGACCCTAGGAGTGTCTGACCTGGATTGAGTTGAGCATTTGCACTGTTTTGAGTAATTTAAGTTTGGACAAGACACTGGGTGTGCAGTTTGTTTTACTAAAAGACCTTTTGTTTTGAGACACTTGCCATTTGTATTTCTTTTGTCCTTTGTATTTTTGTCTGTTTCCTTGAACTTTTATCAGAAATGTTAGTAAGGGAAGAGTCACATGTATAACTTGCCGAGCAATGCACGTTTCTATGATTTTAAACTTATGATCAGCAATAAAAGCCAGCCCTGAGATACGGACGCAAGGACCTTGTGAGGCCAAATTGTCAGTGCTGCCTGATGCTTTCATAATGAACAATTTCGGTAAATCTTTGGGGTTCTTTTCCCCTCCCAGAATCCATAAAATTCTAAATAAGGGAAGAGGGACCATTGATTCCGGTTGCGCTTCAGCTCCTGGAACTTTCTCCAGCAGTCCACAGGTGGGCAGCATGAGCTTTGGGCAGGTGGCTTCTTCTGGAAGTGGGGAGGTTCTGCCTGGCCTTACAGTGCTGTTGGTAGGACTTCAGACTGTGGGTGGTTGATATTTTCCCACAATGCCTTTGTTCCTTATACATTCAGAGGGGTACCCACAACTCTTCACACCATGGCATCCTAGAAGCCGGAGGTCTAGAAGGATGAGTCATAAGTGTATTTGAAATTGTTAAATTAAAGTTTTTGTTTGGCACAGTAAAAGAAGCATAGTCATACGTTACACTTTTGGCTTTAGCCATCATTGGTGGAAAGAGTCTGAGAGATCTTGGGAACACTTTTTTTTTTTTAATTGTGATTTGGGTGAAAGTTTAACAGCTCAAATTCACTTTCCATACAGCAGTTCACATACACTTTTTCTCAAGACATTGACTACAATTTACCACAATGCAACAGCTCCCCTCCTGCTCCCTGAGCTGTCTCCCTGTGCAAACACAGCCCTTCTATTCTCCTCCCATGATTGTTCTCTCCAAGGAGTGTATCTACCTCAGGTAAATGTTTATCTCATATGCCTTTTGTTTGGCTGGAACCACAGGAGTGGGTTCAGTTCCAGACCTGAAGGGAGGGGCAGCTAGGGGCCATAGTCTCAGGGGTTCCACCAGGCTCTATCAGACCAGCAAACCTGGTTGGTCGGTCG